AGTTTCTTTCGAAACTATCAGCCTTTAAACCTTTTTACAGCCTTCACTAGGGACTGCCATCTTTGAAAACTAATGAAATCATGACAAATAGTTAAATATTTAAAAAAAAAGTGAAGACCATTTGCAATCTTTATGCTCAATGGCCTTTTAAGATATCATAACCAACTGGCCCAAACGTTATACCAAAGCTGCAGAATTTCGACCAACAAGCCTAAGAAGGTGTCTTGGGAAAATTACTGCTGAAATATGTCCAGATTCGTGGCTTTGTAGAAGGTTCTCCATTGTGTACCAACGTCAATTCTTATCTCCCTTATATTTGCCTTACCTGTTTTTTAATTTTTCAAGGCCATCTGCGAAATTTTTTACAAAATTGACTTGTAAGTTGACGCGATAAATTTCACGGAACATGTCCTCGCTGTGAAATTTAAAGTAGCTCTCTTCTTGGGAATTTTCCTGGACTCCAAGCTTGAACCCATTGGGCGGCATGAGAGACGGATGTCGTATCTGTTACAAGTGACAAATAAAGAAAAGGCTAGGAGATACACTTTAGCGGTAACCCTCTTCACAGGCCTGATAGCAGGTGACTAACAAACTGTCAAGGCAACCCGAGGAACTATCTGGTCGCCACCTACAATGGGCTGGTATCGCAGCCACGGTAAGGTTAAGCAAGGCTGTGTTCTAAGAAAAAGTTAAATGAAGTGAGCCCAGTGCTCTGAAACTGTTAAATCCAGAGTGCCCAGCATATGCTTTTCATGAAAAAACTAAGATTCCTGAGGCGCCAAGAACAAAAGTCAGGGGCCACTGGACACTGCTACACTTAAGTCTGGCCAAGTGCTCCATACAGATGGAGCGTATTCCGGTTTACATAGCATGAAGCGACCAGGAGTACTACTAATTTCTCCTGGATGAGATGCCTCTCTACCCAAGGTTACCTCCTATCATGCTCCTCAAGAATACGACACTTTGAATTGACGAAGTCTTAAACCCGGACTTCTGGAACCGGGGTACAATGCACAAACAATAAGGCTACCCAACTCAGGGAAAACAAATACGAACATAGAGAAAAGATGTGGGGAGAGTTGAACTCGGGTAACTGAATTTTAAGTGCTGAGCACTCGTTCAATCAAATCTTTTTTGAAATTAGTATGTTTTGAGATTTTTTCATTGATTCATAATTTGACACCTTAATGTTCATTGTCCATCTTTGTTAGAACTGGATATTGATCAGAGAATTCACAGGGAATTTACCTTTTCGTCCCTTATTCCGTTGATAGGAAGCACAAACTGTTCTTGAACTAAAAAAGCCATTAGATTTGCGCAGTAAGTGTTGACGACAATCAAGGCAAAGAATGCGTAGAAAGTAGAGACACATCGTGCACTACTGCTATGAGGTGTCTTTTCAGCACCAATGTCTTTACCGAACGCAACTCCCCATACGTATGTCATAGAATCTGTTGATTAAAGGTACGTGGTGTAAATTCAATGTCTAAGATTTTATATGATACTAAAATAGCGTCAAGATGAAAACATTGTATGCCTGCTGTTAAGGCATTGTAGGAAATTGTACTTCCGCATTTGTGTTATGTGGTCATTCCATTTGAAACAATTTGAATAAAGGGTGTTAAAGTCTTTCTATACGGCCATTTAAAGGCGTTTCGTTGCAATATCAACGTAGTCTTTTGCTGTAAAATACTAAAAACCTCAAAAATGGATGAGATCACAAAATACCGTTTGATGAGATAGACAATCTCCAAAATGAATAGAGTCAAGAAAAAAGACGAAAAAACGGGTAAAAAAATAAATAAAAGAAAAGAGTGATTACTATTGGGTAAATGTCACTTGAAAAATTGTTGGCCACGGGCAATTTTATCATGATTCATGTACATGGGAAACCCCACGTAGCAAATAACAAAGAATTTCAACGTTGAGAAGTCCTCAGCTGATGTAAATGGAGCGAAAATACTGAGGGAGGCTCAGGAACAAGAATAAGTTTAAAGTTGGTTTGGAAACACAGGGTAAAAAAAACAACACCAACAAATTATGAATATAATACCTAACAGTGTGAAACCATCATCGCCGCTATCTACTTGTCGATAATGTCCATACGGACTCTTTCTGTCAATCCACCAGGTCACAAGTAAAATGACATTAATAAATCCAAGTATGAAGATCCATAGTTCATACTGAAAGGGCTCCAGCCAAGAGCTCCACTGGATTTCTATGTAACAAAACAGGTTAGACAGTAAGCTAAATGGTAAACGCATTTTGATTGGTTCTCACCTATAATGTAGGGGCTGCCATATAATAAGCTGAAAGATACACATATTCTGATTGGTTTGATAATTAAACGTAAGGTCTCGGTTTCGATCTCATGTTTGTAAATCTAAGTGCCATGCAAGAGCAAAGTACCGGAATTCTTTGATTATAATTTTTTAAAACTGTTGTACTGTCTCTTTTTGTTCATTTATCCGATGCTGAAGTGGAGATGTTTTAAAGGTCCAGGCCGTGGAAAAATTAAGTGTTTCCAAACTTGATCTTGACAAAAATGATACGCAGAGGCAGATATTGATTGTAACGAGTCCCCTTGGCAGAAGGTTTCCCGCTAACTGGACCTATCAACTCAACTTTAACGACGTGCTGTGCAGAGTCTCAATTTCCTGAGGTATTCCGGCTAAGGTCAATTCAAGATCAGGTAAAAGGATTAGTTTAATGGAAAGTAATTTGATGAAAATGAAGCTTGTAGTGAAAATTAAAACGGTATGTAGACTTACAAACTGTTCCAATGAGGTCTTAAACTGCTGTCTAAAAAGTAAAATTTAGAATCCAAGCTTACGCCGACTGTTTCTACCATCAGTACGATCATGAGATTTTATCGTTATTATCACTAATATGTTTAACTACCCTTGACTTCCCTTGATTGTTTTCCTGAACATCATGAGAAAAAGAAACCTTATTAGCCTCGCTCACCTTCATTAACTCGCAAATCCTTCAAAACTAAAATGTTCAAGGCGACGTGGATAAAGGGTGGAGCGAAGTCAAGGTACTTTGCTCTTATGGAATTTATTGATATGTCAATGGCGAAATCTGCCTGTCCTGATAACACCTCTTGAACGATTCCATTCCACGTATTCGTGTTCTCGTCAAAGTCACCGTAATTACCATCTGGCGTGAAGTAAATCTCGCTCTGGAACCCCAGTTCGTTCTGCATCATGACAAGCAGATCGATGGAGATACCTGAGCAACAAAGTATACTCTTTTCGCCTCGGCTTCAGTTATTATATTTGTAGCAAAGTTGCCCTCTTCCAATGCAGTAGTAACTCCCTCTTCCATCTATGCGACAATCCTCAATTTGGACCCAAGGGGCGTACTCAATCACAGGAACTCGCACCACATTTGTCACTGGTGTAGCAGGAGGTGTGATAGTTTTCCCATTTGGGGCCTTAATGGTGTCAAGCGCAAAACCAGTTGGGGTACTCAGCCCGACAAAGGTCCAACGCTTTGCACCATTTACACCACTTCGAAGGTTCCATATTTCAAATGACGTCGTTGATTTCTTGTGGAGTGAAGGTTCCACGAACAGAGAGCTTAAACCTTCAAGGAATGTTTCTTTTACGTTCCTTGCATATAAAAAGGTAACAAAATAACGTATAAGATAAAATTAATTTGCTCGAGGGATGTTCTAGCGTAAAATAGTTGCTAGCTACTGAGACTAGGTTTACACTAGAGGAGATTTTCCCGGATCCATAAGTGTTTCCAGCTTCATGAAATTAAGGGTTATCGGATTTATGGGCGTTCACACTTAAGCGGATTCCCAACCATTTACACACATTTAATAAATCCGCAAACATTCTTGATATTGAGTGGTTTCAGGGCTGTTTCTTGCCACGACCGATGAGAACAAAAAGAGCGCTAGAGTCGATTAGTAAGATCCAAATTTAAGTTGGACAGATAACGACATTGAACTTCGTCCTTTGCGAACTAAAACTACACTCGACATTTGCTTCTTATGTAATTAACCTACATTTTTTACATAATTCATTGCTGATTATTCATAGTTTGCCAAATGGACTAACAAGTGAATAGCAATAAATGCAAAGATAGGCAACAAAACCATGCAAAAGGAAAAAAACTGATCGTAACAATAGCTATTGACCAAATAATTTCAGGCACATGAGGGCCGCAAACAGCGTCAGCGACAAGAAGTTGGAGAAAAAAAACCTCACAGCAGTCGTGACATTTGAAATTAAGCTTAAATTTTGCCGTTCTCTATTTGGAATCAGTCCATAAATATCCTCTAGGCTATTCTAATTCCCTCTTAGCTTACTATGACCTCTTTTCGGTTTTGCTATCTCATGTAGCCTATATCTCTTTAATCTCCTCCAGTTGAAGGTAAATATGTTCGTCTCGGAAACAACTCAACCTCTTTGACACATAATTCCTCAATCATATTAAATTCAGCAGCATTCAAAGATCATTTGGTTTTATTGACTGAGTCAATAACGTAAATTGGTTCCCGCAAATAGTTTCGAAAGCTAATAGGGACTTTAAGCAGTCAGGACAGCAACGCCACGGAAGACGTCGATTAGTTAGAATTTCGAAAATGGCTGCATGTGTTTACCGTCTCATAGGGCGCCAGACCTCAAACTCAACATAACGCATAAAAGTAGCGTTGAGTTCCAAATGTAAATTAAAATAATTTGCCGCCGCGGTTTCGCTTGGCAGACGACGCAAATTTTGGTGATTTCACGTTGTTGTTTTGCAAAGGACGGCTAAGAAATGTACAAAGTTTTAAAACGCACGTATTGGGCTATTGTTCTGCCAATTAGATCTATTGTTTTTCCACGTTCTCGTTGCCGTAGCCGTCGTTGTTTGCTTAAAGTCCCTGAATGTTTCGAGGGTTAGCCCTTCGTCAAAGCGAATCGAGAAACTGAGTGTTGTAGAAAACTGGACTTACGCTATTGGTGGGAACATGGTAACGTGTAAACAACAATTAATTAATTGAATGAAAAGGGTTCGTTGATACGGTAGTGTAGATAGCTTTTATCCCTGAGTTTTACGGCTTTCCCAAATGACCAGATGTAGGGAAAGGCTGCAGACTGCCATATGATATCAATAGTTTTCTGGTCCGTGCCTGGCGAGAAGTATACGACTATCCTAAATTTCAAGTAAAGGAGTTTTCCTCTTTTTTTGAGCAGCACAACCTACCTATGAAAAATACTCCCAATATCTCCTCTTTCATCGTAACAAACATCCTCAGTGGTCTGATGTGAGTCTATTCCAAGGGCCTTTTCCAATGCAGTTTGACAGAGGAGAAGGCCATCGTAAATGGCATCTGAGTAAAAGGTAGAATCAATATTCTCGCTCCTGGCGCTGATTTTTATCAACCCATCTGGAAGTATGTAATCATTTGATAACCCATACATTGTAACATCAGTAACAACCCATAGAGAGTGCGAAGTGTTGTGTTTTGTTAGCAGTCCTAGCAAAGCTTCGTTGCCTTCATTTCTACTGTGCACCACTACGATGTCGCTTTCAAGAGATATTACACAATCTGATATATTTATCATTGACGGCCAATTATTCTCGGAGAGCCAAAATATATGTTTAATAAACCATTTCTCCTCTTCTGCCACTTGGGTCATTGAGTCCGCAAGTTCTTGTCCATCGGAATCGGCAGACAACACCAAGCAAAGGCTGCGTCGTTCCGTCTTTTTCATGAGTTTCCAAACAATCTGAGCATAATACTTGACTGACGGCAACGTAACTCTTGTAAAGTCGGCAGAACTCTCCTTATAAAAAAAATGGAAATGAAAATTTAGCAAATGTTACAAATTTTTACAGTCATTCAACTGGTCACACTTGGTATCAACGTGTATTTCTTTCTCAGCTCGTGAGCAGGCAGTGTTCTATAAATCCTGAGATCTGATTGGTTCCGAGAGAGGGCAGTATTCTCCCATCCGGCCCACTCACAGCGGGCGGTATCCGTTGCGCGTTGAGTCTCGTAGCAGAATATCTCAAGATTCGTTGCAATTTTTCACAAATATTTCTCGTTTTGCCAGCTGGGTAGAATTTTTAAGCAAATACCTCGGTCACGACCTTTTGGCGACAAATAACATTAATTCTCTCTTCTCTCTCGCTCTTAAATCACTTTAGTTTTTCCGCAAAATTTGATTTCGAGTTAATTTTTGTGGTACTAAATTTGTTCTTAGAAAGATTGAAACGCAGCCTTAAAACAAGTTGTTATTTAATAATCCTTCGCAAAAAGTAACTCAGAAAGTTGAAACGAGAGGTAGTTGCAGTTAGCAATTAATATACGTTAAACAATGTGACTCTCATTCATTAATATCTGAATTCTCCATAACAATTTTTTCGTTTGTGAAACGTTGAGCGAAGTTAGAGTTCTTTTGGCCTATAAATACACTTTCGCCCATTCTTTGAAAGACCCTTGAATTTGGATATTTCTACAGGAAATTTCACAACAGGACTGAAGGAAGTCGATAAATAAAAGTCGCATTTACTCTCCTTGTTTCTAGCTGGAAAGAGTCTCACTGAATTCAGCTTTTCGGTGGAATAAAGACCTTGCAGAAAACAAACAACTCTAAAACACTTATTTGCATTGCATTAATTTACTTTCCGTGACGTTTTAAAACAGAACAGAGGTAAATCTTCGAAGATTAACCGTCGTTGGAAATAAACAACACTTTCCGTAAGATCTTTGAGTGTTTTTTTTTTTTTTTTACGAGAAGATCGTCTTATGGTCATTTTTAAACTCATGTGTGTTTGTCATACCAGTACTGTTCTTTATTCAAACGCGTACGTGCGCTTTTCTCCTCTTCAATTGACAGGTGTCACATCGTAACAGTTACTTATCAAAACATGTTTCCAAGTTTTCTCGGAAGCCTTTTAAGTCACCTTTATAAATAAAAATGTTTCAGTGAAAGCTTTCTCTTTAATTTGAATAATGTCTGTTTTCTTTATCATCCACTCGCTAAAAAATTTTCAAGTTTGTGGAGGACCGCAATGAAACCTTAGTTATAGCCCTAAATCATTCGGGTTCTTTAGGCAATCATCTCGTTAAGTGTTAGAAATAAATAAAAATGTTATTCACCAGCAGTGGTCGGTGCGTATTGGGAAAAAGTGTGACTGAGGTCTTGAGTACCGCCTGAGGCCTCGGGCGGTATCCAAGACCTCGGGCACAGTTTTTCCCAATACGGACCTCCCGTCTGGTGAATAACATATATCTTTTTTAGCGACACAGTACTAATTATGATAATTAGCAACAACGGATAGATTCATATCTATGAAAAGAGCATTGAAACTCAAGATTAAAGAAAAAATACCGAATAATCGTTAAAAAAAAAACATGTAGATGCAAAACGAAAACTAGGCAGGGCAAAAAATTACTGTTTTTGAACTTCTTTAATGAAAATTTACATGTGTTGATTGAATAACAAGACTGCTCCAAACCATGTGATATTTTTTATACCGCTATTCCTTCATGACGACTGATCCGAAGAAAACGCCAATAAGTACGTAATGGAATATTTCTTCTTAATTTTGCAGAGACTCATTCGAGAATCTGAGCGGTGAAGCAAGTCACCTGATAGGGACTGAAAAAGTCAACCAGATTTAAATGCAGTGGATTTGCATATCTTTGATTCGTTACAATTAACACGAAAGTTTTCAGGGAAAAAATACGTCCAAAACCAGACAAAATGAAATGGAAACAGAAAGAAAGGATGCCAGCCTTTCCTTGGAAAATTCTCTAGGGAAAACTTGTTTTAATTGAGGGGAAAAGGATTGCAAGAGAAAGGACTCATCGAGTGACACAATTCTTCGCCAATTTGCATTGCAGTTACCTTCATCCATCAATAATATCAGGTCAAGGGAAAGCTTTCGTAACAGTTTCTAGCTTAACAAAAAAAAAAAAAAAAAAAAAAATTGAACATAAAGATAAAGTGATTTGTTGCTTTACTTGAGTATGTTAATCCGGTTGCATAATCACAGGAACCAAAAAAAATAAAAAAGTAAATAAAACTAAATGCGATGCTTGGTCAACATGTCAGTTCTTTTGAAATGAAGCCTTTGACTTTAATTTTACTTAGGTTGGATCCTTCAAAATAAACAAAAAGATGTCAAAAAAAAAATCGGTCATTTGAAATGTTCGTCGAGAAAACATGAATTTTTCACTGTTAGGAAGAAAGTTTTAATCAGGACTGATTTACGTTTTATCTCACGTTCTCTAAGGTGTCGTAATGAATGAGATCCTTGATTTGTTGATAAATTTAAGATTATCCACAAATGTTAAGGAAATCGTCTAACTGCTAGCTATCACGGTATACCTGTGATCTTGGTTGTCCCTCGCTTTGAAAGATTCCAATGGTCGGGATAGCCAATTCCTCCAAAAGTGACGAAGCATAAAGGGCATCACTATTGATGTCCACAAAAATGGCACCCAGAATCTGCAATGAGATATTCCTGATCTGAGAAAGAGATCCTCCACTGGCACCAACTTGACTGAGCTCTATCTTGCGGCTGTCAAAGGGCAATGGATTTACATAAACCTTTGAAGCTTCCTGCTGAAGAATAATTTTGCTCCTCGGTCTGTTGGCAAGGAACAAGGATTCTGCTCTTTGTACAATGTTACGAATGTGCCTATTCGAAGCATTGTGAAATATAACGACTTCAGTTACAGTTTTCCAATTACTAGACAGTGCTGTAATAGTTTCTCCTTGGGTTCCAAGCAGAATGAGTAACAAAAAAATGCCGCGAAAATTCATCACTAAACCTATTTAATACTCTCCAATCTCACATATCACTATTTCAAAATTTCCATCGATTAGCTGTGAACAAAAACGCTACCCTACGGGTAAAAATTCTAAGTTCACCTAATTTCCGATGGCACATGAATAATTACTTGCAAACGAGACTTTATGCCACGAAATTTAATGTGTGTGAAAACATAACCTTGAGTCTTCAGGGCCGAAACGTAAATAATATTTTAGTATCGAGACAAACAACGACAAGATTCTCCAATGACTGGCTGGAAAAGGCTTTAAATGTTTCAAGAATTTTCTGTGTTATAACAAAAACCACGGGATCCCCTTCTGTGTTGCTTCTGTTTGATAAAAAATATGCGAACCATAAGTGCGATTAAATTTGGCGAGCAAATGAAAAAGTTGATTTGAATAATACTCGACAGGGAACGAAAACAATTTTTTGATATCAGGGGATCACATTCCCGGACTTTCTCGGTACCATAATATTAAACTGAGACCGCCAGTTATTATGCTTTGCCTCATATCAAATTTCACTTGGTTTTCATGTCCGGCTTTATTTGCGTTCCTGGTGATAGTCCTGTTACCATAGCTAGACGCGGTTAAACTGCTGATTTGATCTGTGTCGGAAAAAGCTGCTATTTAACGGTGTAAATTCAACAGCCGTTAAAGGAACTTCCTTCGTATTCAAACTAACGTCTCCAATTCGCATCAATAGCCCATTTATTCAATTCCCTTCATTCAAATTCAAATAAGACTTGCTTGAATAAGTCTTGCTTTAAATCAACAATCATAAATCAGTCTAATATCCAAATCATCAATCGCGTGACTGCAATAAACATATACTTCTAAGAATCGCTTCAGTTGATAATCGCAACCTCGTAGTCTAGAAACTTTGATTTTTGTTTTGTCATATCAGGTGGTACAGAAATTGCCTTTACTTGTGCTAATTGAACTAATGCAGGTTTATTTTACTTCCTGTACACAGGTGGAAAATATAGCAAATAGTTCATTGTAATTTTACAACCTTCTTGAAAACACATCATTTAAAGATACTATTTCTTTCCTCTTGGATTCTTTACCGAGCATTCGATATTAATCATATAATTTCGCTATGTACAATTTTCTTTTCAGCACAATCGTTTAAAGACAGCTGGTGCTTTCACTGCGAATATCTAAAATCCTACAGAATTGATTTCTTAATCTTATGAATTGAAGAAAAGACTTACATTTAATAAATTATGAGTTAGGATCAAATATCAGATACCTTTTTTTTTTTTTTTACCAAATATGAGCTTGTAAGAAAAAAACTAGATCAATAATTTGGAGTATCAATATACAAATATTCTTTTTAGCTGAGAACTAGTTCTATTCTATGCAAATCAACGTAATTTTTACCATTGAAAATGGTTTCTTAGATTGCAAAGTATAAATAACTTCTTGCACGTCGCTTTGTTTCTTAATCAAAGGAGAATCATATTCCGGAGTTTCCACGTTGCGTTGTCATTCTCAATTTCCTATAGATACTCAAGATGGCAAAATTTACCTAATTTACTTTGCATTAGAGGCCATTTTATTTTATTGACATAAATCGAGGCCGGCGACATCCAAAGTGATTTTTTTGTTGCTTTTTTTCCTGTAGTTTTGTTGTGATTTTGGTACTTTTGTTTATTTTTGAGGGCCCTCTAACCTTTTTTAATCTTTTGAAGTTTATCTTATTTTCGTTTGAATGTAATCTTTAATTTCGTCGGAGATAATTCTCTGCTCCTCAACACAACGAATACAAGTGGCATGTTTCTAAGCAGGCAGTCCTTTTTTTTTTTTTTTGCTAAAAACCAAGCCATCCTTTATTGCGTGTGTACGAGTCTGTGCGTATGGAAGATAAAGATTGTCTGAAAGGGCAGCTAAAGATTAAAGACACATTATTATAAAAGTTTGTTTTCAATAAGCTTCTGCGCGTCGAGGGACAAACCCCGCCAACCTCCTTCCTCTCCCAACGCCTTAGGAAAACTATTATTTAGAAATAAATGAAGGATAGGAAAAGTACTCCGGAGGTAAAACGAACCATGTCCAAGTCATCATTCTGGCCTATTACGACTTGGTTTGTTTAGAAACATATCTATGAAAACTTTCTGTCAAGGCAAATCTGATCTGTAATTCTATCACAGCTAGTAGCCAGAGTGGTTTTGGAAGCCGGCAAAAAATCAAAGGTGAAAACCGCGGAGTAGCAGTTTAAGTTGGAAGCTTCCGACCCCGCACATCTTTTGTTTTCAGCGACCACACATGGTTACGAAATGATTGGGAACTTTTGATCGCTAGGATAGCTCTAAATGAATATGTAAAGATTATAAGTGCATGGTCAGGTCACAAACACATAACAAAAAGTTACATCAATCTTGTTAAACTTTAAAAATTTTTTTAACTGCTGCATTCTATTAACTACGTTGATACTCTGGTAAATGCGATTGGAAGGGCAGCAATACATAAGCATAAAGATAATTTTACAATGAAATTCTTTGGTTGGAGATCATACAATTAATTTTGATATGTTTATCTGTGAATTCCCCTAAATGGTTTTAATTTATTTATGACAAAAAAATGGAAAACTGCAGATCGACGCGGACTAAAAAGGCCACCGACTTGAATAAACACACAAGTTACTAATGCACTGTGTAAGTAAGATCCAAAGTAAAAATTTAATGGCACTCTAACTTCCTAGGAAGTATCAGTACTGCTTTGAGATGACAAAACCGCACAGTGCATCAGATGAAACCGTAAATACCCGGACAAACATCCAAAAATATAAAAGAATTCTACAAAAAAAGTAATAAATAGATAAAAATACAATCGCCCATGCGCATTTTAAATTCACCTAGCTGATTTTAATTCATTTATGACAAAGAAATGAAAGACTGCAGATCGACGTAGACCTTAAAGGCTATGGCGCGCCGAAACGGACAAAAATACTTCATGGAGATATGACTTGTTTTGCAAAATATACGACTTGTTGCGAAAATATAAAACTTGTTTTGTAAAATATACGACTTCTTGCGGAAATATAAACTTGTTTTGTAAAATATACGATTTGTCGCGAAAACATAAAATTTGTTTTGTAAAATGTATGACTTGTTGCGAAAGTATGACTTATGTAAAATATACTTGTTGCTAAAATATGACTTGTTTTGTAAAATATGCGACTTCTTGCGAAAATATAAAACTTAGTTTGTAAAATATACGACTTTGTATAAATATAATACTTTAACAGCGCCAGCGATTTGAGTGTTCAGCGGTAAGTGGAACACAGGCCACCGCTCCTCAAGGTTAAAAAAATATGGCGGATGAGTTAGGAGCTTTTCTCCGAGTGTTAGAACTTGGATAACAAATTTGCGAGGACGTTAGACGAAACTTGTTTGTGGCAGATAAAGAAGCAGCCGAACAACTGAGGAATAACTCTGTTCAACTTATCATCGCACTCGTCATTGCAAGCAGACAACTACCGATAGAAATCAGCATACGTCCTGCTGCAAAGCAGCTGACCACAGACAATGGGCGCCCTTAAAGTATTATTTTTCACCGCGAACAAGTTTTATCTGCAACAAGTCTTATATTTTAGCAACGACTGGTATATTTTACAAAACAGTCTTAAATTTCCGCAACAAGTCTTGTATTTTACAAAACAAGTTATATTTCCGCAACAAGTCGTATATTTTACATAACAAGTTTTATATTTTCGCAACAAGTCGTGTATTTTACAAAGCAAGTCTTATATATCCATACACAAGTATTTTTGTCCGCTTCGGCGCGCAATAAAAGGCCACCGACTTAAATAAACACACAAGTTACTAATTCTACTGTGTCAGTAGGAGGTATCGGTAATGCTTGTGGAATGACAAAACCGCACAATTTTTGCATCAAATGAAACCGGAGTAGACCGAACAAATCAACGAAAAGATAATACTAATAAAACTATAATCCGAAAAAAAGTGAAGAAAAAGATTCCCCCAGATGCAATTTTTTAAAAGTTAAAAAATTTTGAGTTTCAGCCGTTTTCATAAATTCCTACTTCTACCGCCCACTAAAAAGCTTTGCGAGTACCTTAAAAGATTAGCGTCTTTACAGAGCTCACGGACTCTGCTATCACGTTCACATCACCTGTCAAAGAAGCTAAGATCTTGTTTTCTACTCGACATTTGATTGGCTGGAATACTGTCTTATTATTTCTTCCCTACGAGGTTTTTGTATCGCACGAGTAACCCCCAGTAAGTAGATCATCCACAACTCTATAAAATTTTCTGCACATCTGCACGTTCAACCTCCTAGCCTACAGGAAGTCTGACATAGCTCAGCAGTAGATCATCCAAATAAATACACTCATATCTACATGACAAAATTACACGAAATATAGAACACACTGAGTCCAGTTATTCTACATCCATTTCGCCATCCTCTGCTTTGAAAGATGAAAAAAAACTAGAAGAAAACCAGAAGACTAAGTTGAACATTTTATATCACTAATTCATAGGATGTACATATTTACAAAATCTCCATCTCACCTAGGTTCTATAATAATTGCCCGCCACTTAATCAGTTTAGAGCGTCGAATGGAAAATTATGACAGGTCAGAATAATATGCATCCCTTTCATTCAGTATTCTTATATTGGAGTGGTCTGTGGCCCGAGTACCTGTCGACATCTTTTTTAAAAGGAGATGGACCGCGCTATTCATAAAGAGGCCCTTTAACAAATTAATCGTTCCTCCTCCACAAACTTACTGTTCAAAGAACAAAATTGCGATCTTTTTCAACTGCTCACTCTGTCACTTTGTGGAGACAAATTCAGTTAACAAATTTCAACGATTAATTCATCTCCCCTGTTAATCAGAGATTCAGAATTCTTGGAAACCTATATTCGTGGGTATTGCTGAAGAATTTATGGTACATCTGCTGAATTCTGAATTAATTCCAAACGTGCATAAATAAAGATAATTAAAAATAAAAAAGGCGTTCAAAAACCTTCGTGTTCTCTTCTTTCATTTTCATTTTTTTAGCGCTTAAAGTGGACTGGTTGTTGTTTCTGGCTTTCTCTTTCGATTTCTCTTTTTGCCATCTGTCTTTCATTTCTTCTTTTTTTCCTTTTCATCCCATGCTTCAGATATTCCACTAATTTCTATCATATATAACTTTTGTTATCATCTGCTAAATATTCAAAACCCAGGGCAACAAAATAATACATCACTTAAAATTATCAAACATGCTTGATAATTAGCAAGACCTTTTATGAACTGGAGTTCCAAGCGATGAGGAAATTCTTTAGTTTTTTACCAAAATCATAATTTGAATAATGTCTGGGTGTGGTGGCGGTGAATAGGCTTTTGTACATTATGCTTTTGTTTCCCCACTAAAATACTCCACCTTAATGCTTCATTTTTCCCAATAAAATGCTCGGTCTCCCCCAAAAAAGTAACTAAACTGCTCGGATAATTAACAATTATTCCACGAGCGCGCGTTGGATATGAGATGATAGATAGCCAACTCGGCGTTACGCGCTTCGTTGGCTA